TATAGGCTTGTAAGATGATCTTTCTACATGCATAATTGCATATACTGTAAAGAGGCAGCAAAGAGATATAAACTACTTAATCAAATACCCTGAAAGAATGTGTTGCTACTCCTAGGACCTAAAGACCACAGCCTTGGGGCACATCAAGATCAACTGTCATAATTTAGTCCACAAAAGCAATGTTCTATATCCTACCTTGATTGAATAGTGATTGTTGTTGTTGTTATTAAGTGCCGTTGAATTGTAGAGAACTCATAGTGACCCTATGAAAGAAAGACCTGAACACTTGTATAACTTCCATCGTTATACAATAGAGTTCCGGAGGTAAACTATTTCGAAAGTGGATGCCACTCCTGATTCCAAGCTTGTTTTATTTGGGAAGCTCCACCAAACACTGTCCACCAAAGGTAACCATTATCGCACTTGACACATCAGTGTCACAGTGTTCAGCCTCACAGCAACCACAAGTTTCCTCTGTACAGCAAATGGACAGACGAGTGCTATGCCACTTAGAAGAATGTTTGACCCAAAACAATTAAAACCAGGCCTGAGAGCCACAGGCTCGAAGGCCCAACCAAATTTAAGAACCAAGGTAAGGTTCAAACACCATGAGTTCCATCATTCCATATTCCTCCATAATCAAGCATTCCCATTGGCTCTCACCATCCAAAAACTCCCGTCTGGAAGCATTCTGCTGATTCCCCAAGCTCCTCCTATTCTGATGCCACACATTTCTTCATATAGTCTAACTTTTTGAATGATTTGTTCAGCAAATAGACTTAATCCACTTCAGGAAATGACACAACCTTGATGCATATCTTCCTTGATTTTAATCCATTGTATATTCCCTTGCTCTGTTTGGATAAAAGGTCATGAGTAGCCATCTAAGGTGTAACTATTGCTTTCTCCCTGTCTGAAACAAACAAGAGTGAAGAAGATCAAAGATGCATAGAAACAATTAGTTAAAAGGACCACATGAACTTGAACCCCCACAATTCTGAGACCAGTAGAACTGAATGATGCCGGGCTACCATTGATGATTTCTCTAAAGGTAATCACAACAGAGGGTCATGGACAGAGCAGTAGAAAAAAGTGAAACAGAACTCAAAATCATAAAAATGGCTTTGCTTGCTTGTCTGTCTAATAGAGACTGGAACCCCTGAGACTAAGACTCTTAAAATTACCCTTTTGGGCCTGGAATAAAGTCACCCCTATGGTTCAAATTTCAGCGAAACAAATAAGGTTAACAATAACACTGGGGAAGTAATAACTTCTTCGAACATTCTAGAGTGAAATAGCATCATGTGCCCAGGGATAAAGTTTAAGAGACAAGAAGGGATAGGTTAGAAGGAAAGGCAATGGAAATTGCAGGGAGATGGTGAAAAGAGTGCTGTTCCAAGGTGGGAATCAGAACTAACATCATAAAACAAAACCTATGTGGATGATTGAATGGGAAACAAACTTGGTCGGGGAACTTTCCCTAAAAGTATCATAATTGTTTTAAAATTACAGACTTAAACTGACATTCCAGAAAAACAAATAAACCACTTTAAGCAGTAAGATAATGAGAATAAGATTATTACGATGAAAGAAACAGAGAAAAAGAATGTAATTTATATATAATCGATATAGTTGGAAAAATATAGTGCAAAAAATGCACTCAAAAGTCACCAATGAATTGTTGCTATTGGTAATTGCCATTGAATATAGCACAACTCAGGGCGACCCTATGAACAAAAGGCCCAGAGCCTTTCTATAACTATAGTCATTTATCAAAGTTCATAGAATTTCCAGAGGCATGTTGTTTAGGAAGTGGATGCCATCCTGCTTCTAACACCAATGATAAGACGAATTTATTTTGTTTCTTCGATCAAATAAAAGAAAGGAACAAATAATATTATATGATTATAAATTTTTGTTAATTAATCATTGATAACATAAAATTCCGCCATTCAATATCCAGTATAATATCTGTCACCAAGTCTATCTTTTCCAACTATTATTCTTTCTACTTTATTTCCAATTTCTGCATTCTGGTCTCTTACTATTTTTTAATCAATTTTTTTAATATAAAATTTTGACGGGTGGAGGGAGGGGTGAGTTAAGGAAATGGAAAAGAGCGGGTATGAAAACAATGTATATGAAATTTTCAAGTAAACCGGTATAAAAAAATTTAATTTTTATTATTACTGGAAATCCATTCATTCTAGACATTATTTTGATATTGTTATTATGAGCTATCGAATCAGCACTGACTCATAGCTGACCGTCTAGTGGGCTTTCAGAGGCAGTCAATTGCACGGGATTTGATTGCCCATCTTATTCTCACAGAGCAGCTAGTGGAATTGGAACACGTGTCTTTGGATGAGCAACACCGTTTCTTACTAATAAGCTCCCAGAGGTCCCCTTATTTAAATAATATTTCATTATAATTGAAGTAGCATATTAATAGTTTTCTAAATTTATGTTTTACTTGATGTTTTAAGATAAGCTTAAGAATTTGGGGGAAGGGTTTACTGTGATTTGAATAATAATTTAATTAATTTTCTTTATTTGGGTTTTTAATTAAATTTTATTAATTAATTTTAATGAACATTTTCAGAGGTTTTGGATTTCTATTCATTCATTATTGCACTATTTTCTCTACTCCCCCCCAGTTCATTCCTCTTTTTTTCCTCTTGAAAGTCTGTTTTAATTGTCCCATTGCCACAGCACTTGTCAAAACCAGTTCTGATTAATCTCCTTTGTCAGTGTGTCCTTTGCCACTCCCTATCACTCCTTCCTGAGGAGACTTCACCCTGATTCATAAGGAAAAAGGAACAGCATATTCTCTTAGCTACTTCCTGCTGAAAAGGGACGCTGT